GACTGAGGCACTGAGTATTTATGTGCACATGTGTATGTGTATGCAGGCCTGTGTGTACCATGGGGAGGGAAAAAAAAGTGGTGAGAGATATGAATAGGTGTTGGGGGTGCCGATTGTGGTGGACCTAAATGGAGGGTATGACCTCAACCAGAGTCATTAAAGGATTTCCCAAATATCTTATTTTCTGAGAAAATTTAGAAACTACTTAGAGGCATAAAGTAGAAAAATACTGCTTGTAAACCTCTTCAATGTCCTAAATGTTCATGTCCTCCTAAAATTCATATGTTGGAATCCTAACCCCCAAGGTGATGGTATTAGGAGGTGGGGCCTTTGGGAGATGATGAGATCATGGGGGGAGTCTCATGAAAGCAGTGGGTGCCCCTAGGTAAGAGGCCCATTCCACCATGTGAGGACACACCCAGAAGGCTCCATTTTAGAACCAAGGAGGATGCCCTCACCAGATATGAAATTTCCTGGTGACTTGATCTTAGACTTCCAGCCTCCAGAATGGTGAGAAACAAATTTTTGTTGTTTATAAGCCACCCTGTCTATTGCTGTGTTACAGCAGCCCAAACAGACTAAGACAGCTTCCTGCCTTGAGGAGAATTGCTACTGATATTTGTAGGTGTTTCCTGCTCATCTCTTCTCTATGACTTGAAGAAAATCATATAACATAACATGATATAAATGTTCTGAGTACTTCTTTTTACTAAACTTTGTATAAATTCCCTTATATTTGTTCTTAAAAAATTCAATCAGTATAATTTTAATGACTATCTAATAGCCCAAAATTTACCTACGTTTTCCCTTCTTGTCGGATGGCCTAGTACTGACATAGTACTGCCATTCAGCATTAAACTTTACAAAAGGGATTGCACGTTGTCTAACCCAGGGGTGGGAACCTGCAGCCTTAAGGCCACAGGTGGCTTTCTAGATCCTTAGGTAAGGCCTTTTGACTGAATCCAAATTTTACTGAAAAAAATAAATTTTATTAATGCATTTTTGTTTGTCTTTTATATTTTTATTTATTTTTTAAATGAATGTATTTAAAATATCAAGGAATAAAATAAAACTTTCAAAGAAATATTTCTCCCAGATTGATCAGTACATTTAGAACATTGGTAAGCTATAAGGGCTAAATTGACAGCTGCTACACTCATGATTTAGTTGTAATTTCTCCTTCCTGACTGGTGCCACTACTGCATGAGGCTGGTTGGTGAGAGTTTATAGCGGTCAAGTACGCCAGTCTGTTATCAGCTTTTGACAATAATGCACTGTGTTTCTGTTTGAAGTGGAATTTGTGAATAGTTGCACAGCTTGACAATATTTTTTAATTTTGTCTGTTTAACAGCCCATCATGTCAAAGAAGACCAAGAGAACTCTGAAGGAAGAAAATGGATTTTTAAATGAGGACTGGGAATTGCAATATTATCTTGTTTCTGCTAAAGATAAGATTATTTGCTTGCTTTGTGATCCTGCAATATCAACATTCAAGAAATTCAGTGCTCATCAGCATTATAACACTCATAAGGACCACAAATATTTTACATTAAAGGGAGAGGCACAAAAAGTTGTATTGCAGAAATTAAAAGATGAAAAGCAAAAGCAAAGACAATTCTTTCAAGCAGCAATAAGACCTGGAAATAATGCAATTGGAGCTATTTATAAAGTAGCTTTATACTCGAGGGAAAAAAGGGAAGCCATTCAATGACATAGAAATTGTGAAAGAATACATTGTCCAGGTTGTAGGATGCTTGGACCACCATAACGTTCCAAGATATAAACAACAACCTCTTTCAAGGAGAACCATAGCTGACTGGCAGCATGAATTAGCCTTCAACTTAACAGAACAACTTTATGCAATACTTCAAAAGGAAAGTATATATTATTCAATTGTTTTTGATGAATCAACTGAACATAACAATGCAATATTGTCATAACAATATTTTCTTTGCTATGAGGAGTTACTCACTTTGGGCAGTCTTGTGAACAGAACACGGGGAATAGATATCTTCAACAACTTTCAAGATAGATGTCATGAAATTGGACTGAATTTGATAAATTTAGTGAGTGTATGTACAGACAGTGCACCTTCCATGACAGGAAAACATGAAGGGTTTGTTGCACAGATAAAAAAAAGTATTAACAGATCCAGATGCTCTCATTTCTTTTCATTGTACCTTGCATCAGCAACATTTTTGTGCTAAAGCTACAATTTTAAGTGACACTTTGCAACAAGTTATAAGGATTGTTAACTATATTCTGTGCAAATGCAACATGGCATTGTCAATTTTGTAACATGCTCAAGTTGAATAATGAGATATTCAGTGTGAATTTGCCATATCATTCTAAAATGCGATGGCTATTGCAGGGACAAGTGTTAGCCAAAATTTTACATCTGTAAGAAGAGTTAAATTTTATGAAGAACAGAATCAGCAGGGTGAATTATTGAAAGGAGATTTCTATAGGAATGCAGCATTTATGTGTGATAATCATGTCAAATCAAAATGACTTGGATGTTTCTTTGCTAGGTAAAACTAAGTCTCTATATGATATGTGGCAAAAAATCCAAGCATTTTGAAAAAAGCTACCTTTTTTTCAAAACACTTCTTCTTTAAAAGGAAATTAAAGATAAACATTTCTCCCTCCCCTGCCCGGGTGTTCCCAGTGTCAGTCCCTAGCTTCCTTCTCATTCTGTGACGCTGGGCATCTAACAGTCAGACTGCTGTCTGCGGGGTCAAAGGTGGCACACTTTCCTTGATTGCCATCATCCCCTGCCCAGCAGGTGCCCTGCAGTGACTGTTGTAAACTGTTCATCTTCAGCCCACTCCCCAGTGTCCACCTGTCTCTGTGTCCCCATTCATTTATCCTTTATCATTATTATTATTATTATTATTATTTTAAGACAGAGTCTCACTTTGTTGCCCAGGCTAGAGTGAGTGCCGTGGAGTCAGCCTAGCTCACAGCAACCTCAATCTCCTGGGCTCAAGTGATCCTGCTGCCTCAGCCTCCCCAGTAGCTGGGACTACAGGCATGCGCCACCATGCCCAGCTAATTTTTTCTCTATATATTAGTTGGCCAATTAATTTCTTTCTATTTATAGTAGAGACAGGGTCTTGCTCTTGCTCAGGCTGGTTCTGAACTCCTGACCTCGAGCAATCCGCCCGCCTCGGCCTCCCAGAGTGCTAGGATTACAGGCGTGAGCCACTGCGCCCAGCCTTTTATCATTATTAATAGCTATAATATTCTATCCTTTACTCCTCATTGGCTCATGGCTCTGCAGTTATTTCAGATCTTTTATACTCCTTAATTTCAACTTCCGCCTCTGCCAATTCACTCTGAGCAGCTTACCTTGCCTCTTTTATGAAGACTGAAGACACCTAGGAGTCTCTTTCTGTATTTTTATTTATATTTCAATATATTCCCACATCAGTTCTTTCCCTTCTGCTTCACAAAAGGCCACATTAAACATAAAAGTGCCAAAATAAATAAAAAGTGGAGCATTTTCAGAATCTAAATAATTAATGAATAGGTAAAAAATATATATATATAAAATTGTGCTCTGCTTTTAACAAATCAAAAATATCTCATTCAATTCAATGAGAAGATGCTAGTATAATTTCAATCATTATGCTAATTGCTCTCATTTTGCACACTGTTAAGAACCTTTTTAAAATCTGGTTTCAAAAGTTACGTGTTTATTTAAAAACTTTAGAAAAGTACAAAAATAACATGAGGGAAAAAGAATGATAATGCATAGAATGACATAGTGGATAGTGTTAGGTAGGAAGTAGATTGTGTAGGATCAAACACTGGCTACTCAACTTATTAGCCGAGTGTTCTTAGGCAACTTAATCTCTCTTTGCTCTGGTTTCTCATTGTTAAACTAAGGATCAAAATACTTTCCATCCTGTGAATTATTTTGATGACTGAATAAAATAATGTATATAATAGTTTTAGCACATTTCCTTGCACTTAGTAAATCTCAATGTAGTTTTCCTTCCTTCCAACTTTTAAATACACATATTACATATCATATACACACAAGTATTTACAAAACTAGGGTCACGTGGCATTTAATGTGTTGTGGCCTGCTTTTTTAACTTAACATTATCTTGTCAGCATTTCCCTGAGCCATTGCATTCTTTGAACACATGGTTTTTAATAGCTGAATAGCATTCTGTTCTATGGATTTACTATAATTTACTTAACTAAATCTCTATTGTTGCTTAATTAGGCAGTGGCAATTTTTTGCTATTATAAATAGCATTGCAATGAACATCCTTGTACATAATTCTTTGTTTGCTTCTCTGATAATTTCCCTGGGATAAATTCCAAGAAACGTAATTATTAGGTCAAAGGATAAGAACATTTGTAAGAATCTTGATCCATGTGGTCAATCTGCTCTCCAGGAAGTTTGCCCGATTTTGTATTCTCTGCAGCAATATGTGAGAGAGTTTTCATTTCATCACACCTTGGCCATTGGTGGATAAGGCGCAAGAGCTCACTTTGGAGACTGCAAGCTTCTTAGTAATAGGAGACGTTTGAGTACTTTTCATTGGTCGATTTTAGCTTTATGAGTCCATTTTGAGTGACGTTAGAATAAACCTTTAGGGTTGATTTCCGTGAGATGATTATTTCCAGGGTACAGAAAAGAACTTGAAAGTCTTCGAGATATAAATATGCAAGGTTAACTGCAGCTCTCAACGATTGTTTTATAGACAAATATTATACTTGCCTAAAAATATTTATTAAAATAAGGCTGTTTATTTGGGGTAATTAATCCACAGTACTTGGTCACACAATAGTGGCCCAGCAATTTTTCTTTTCTTGTAACACGGGTCATGATGATGTGCCACCAGGAACTGAAAGTGAGCCGTGGTTGCTTCTGCACTGAGACCTCCTTGTGATCTCTTTCATGGTTGGCACCAACTCCGGGTACTCAGTACTGGTACCTGTAAGGGTTTATACTTGACATCTGAAAGGGACCAAAAGGAGATCTTTCTTTGTTCATAATGCACTGCTTCCCAAGAGACAGTGGTGGGACAAAAACGTTGGTGGCAGGATTAAATAGGATAACAGAGTTCAGAAATGCTACCCCCATCAGAAGATGCCAGACTGATTACTTCCAGGTGCCCGAACTAATGTTTCTGAGTCCCTTTCAGCACTTTCTCTGTAACTAGTAAGGTCAATATAATAACTTTTATAGATCATTGTAATGGAGCACTTTATATGCATATGTATGTGGGTTGTGGGTGAGTATGTTTAAGCCATGGGGAGTTTTTGTTTGAAAGAGCATGTGCTGTTCAGAGCAGAGGGGACTTGTACTTGTTTCCGAGATGGAGGCTGTAGTTTGTGTTGCATCTAGGAGGGTGCACTGAGTAGGGTAAAAAGACAGTCCTTCATTCTGCCTGTGAGTGTGATGGCAATTAACATGTTTGTCTGAAAAAACAAGAAGCTGTCTCTCTGTGTTATGGAGAACTGATTAGAGCCATGCATGCTCAGAGTAAAAAGTGGATGGGGGTGGTGTGAGGGGTGGTCGGTATCAGCGAGCTCTGCAAACACTAGTGCTGGGCCAGACAGCTGAGAACAGACTGGAATAGAAAGCAAATTGTTCAGGATGGTGAGAGTCCACGAAACAACCCATAGCTGACATACTGAGAGAGAAAAAGGCAGAGCTTATGTAAGTAGAGCTCAGTAAGAGTTTGGGTTAGTAAAATGGTGGTTTTAAATCAGATCTAACTGGTTTTCCTCGTAACTCGATTAACTTGTTTATCACTTTGTTTTTGGTTAGAAGTTTGAGTTTGTTCGGTCTACATATTTTTATTTTAAAAACGGCCCCAGTTAGATATTGTCTGCTACATCAATGGGGATTAATTTTAACTTAGATCCTTTGCTGATGAGCATGCTGACTTGTAAAGCATAATAATTGGTGTTTTTCATATCACACTGTCATCATTTAGGTGTAAGGGGTGACTAGATTAACACTGCAGTTTTTTTAAAGTTTTGGGTAGCTTTGTTCAGCAAATCCTCTAGCAGTTGTGATGCTCTGCCAGACACATTCTTTGATTTTGGTTTAGACTGTGCTTTGATTCACTAGCTGCTTGGGATAATCATCTCTGTTAGCACATAGTGTATCACTGAGTCAGATGAGAGCCGGCGCAGAGATGGTTCTGTCACTACAATCATCTAGTAAGTCATTCCAAGTTGGGGCTTAGGACTCTGATTTCCCCTCTCAGTCTTGAATTTGTGCTTTTGGCACATGAATTCTTCTTGATTCTTATCTTCGTCTGTAAATAGCATGGAAATTGCACATGGAAAAATGGAACAAATCATACTTTCTTTCAAAGGGCAAATTAAACATTCCATAGAATAAGGGAAGAGTTGTTAGTGGAGGAAAAAAAAAAATGCAACCTTGCTAGCTCCAGTGTGAAAAAAGAACGGAGTAAATTGGACTCAAACTCAACCTTAAAGGACGTTTTGAGCGTTTGCACTTTTTTTCTTTAACCACCCTCTTAGCCCTCCTGCCAAATACCAAATCCTAAGTTTTCCGAAGGTTTGAAAATATTCCCATTAATTTTTTTCTCTCCTAGCCCTGTATTTACCAGGGCTTGAAATGGAAACACTGAAACCCAGTAATAAAGGGCACTATGGAATTCCCGGTCTGTCTGAGGCCAAGTGCTCCTGGCAAAATCCTCAGGAAGTCCAGTTCCTCCTGGGCTACAGTGGAGTTCTCAGTTATAGGCTGTTTTGAAAATTCAGGTAAATTTAGAATAAGCAACTCACTTAAAGAAATGGGGTGAGAAATTTCTTTGACTAAAAACAAAAAGTATACATTTTCAGATGAAATTCAGAAACTGTCTTCCTGAAAAGGGAGAGGAGACAAAGCTTCTGTGAGGATGACCGGAAATGATAGGATTCTGCCTCCTCGCTATACAAGGAGAGAGTTAGTGTGTCACCTCTGATGTGGACAGAGTTCATGAACACACATGGGTTGTCGCTCAAAATACTAGAATGTCATGTGTCTTCTTCAATCCATACTGTTTGTAAGAGACAGCTATTATGTGAGCTCTTCAAGAGCAGGTACGGAGGAGAGTCTGATTTATTCAATGACAATTGCTCAATGGATGACTAGACAAATTCGAACGAGGGCAAGAACAGCAGACCTGGAGTGAGACTCCTGGCTTTAGCTCTGAAGAGGCTGCAGGGCAGGGAGGCTGGTGTTGACCATGTTTGTACAGTTGGTTAGTGGCCCCATTAGGACTAGAAACCAGACCCTGGCCCTCTGCAAGTGTGTGTCTGTTCACCAGCTAGACTGGCCCAAGGTGCAGCCAGCTCCATCACGTCCTGGCCCTGAATTTTAAACCCATCCCCTCTCCTGGGCCACCACTTTTTCATTTATACCAGTGGCACCTTTCAATTTTTTCACCCTGCCCCGCCTACATCTCCTGGCTCAGGGTGCGCATTTTCTAAGTTTCCTCACTCTGTACCTCTAAGCAGAGTACTTTTACTCATTTGTCCTCTCTCTCCAGGAAGGTCATCTCTACTCCTTTCCAGGAGATACCCTCAGCTAAGGTCAATCCCACCCTCCTCTTCCCTTTGGGCATAAGTGCCCTCTGCATCTCTGGTCAGGGTGGACCATGCAGGGGCTGCTCAGATCTCCACTCCTCTGCTGGCACAGCCCTTCTGGGCTTCCCTCTCTTTTTGCTTGTCTACTGTTGCTCATTGACATTTGCTCATAATATGTCAGTGACATTATATTTAGTCCATTTTATGAACAGTAAAAGCTCATTTTAGAAAATATCTAAACAAGTCATGCAACAAAACAAAAATCACCATAGTTCTGTACACTACTTTGGCTAGCTTCTTTTCTCCCCTAGGTATTTAAAAAGCAAAATCATAATCCTATAGAATAAAGAAACACAACTGTATATGCTATTTCTTTGATTGATTACAAAAATGTATGTTCTTTGTGGAATATTTGAGAGATGTAGAAAAGTCCAAAGGAAAAAATAATTTCCTAGAATTGCACCCTGCATTTCACTGTACTTCCTTAGGATTTTTTCCTGTGCATATATAATATAGGAGACATACCATATGCACTAATTTTGGGGAACATCTGGCAGAGAAATATTCACAGGTTCTACGTGGAAGAGCATGTAAAGGGGGAGTTTAACGACAGATAACAGCTACTGCTGGGTGCCTTAGTAATCTTTGCTGATTAAAAGAAAAAAAGTCCCAAATGGTTTAGGTCATTCCTCCAAAGGTGCAGTAAATCATTACTCAAGTTTTTGGCAATAAAAATGCTCACTGTATTTTTTTATTTACAGATTTCATGGAAGAAAGAATGCTTTTTTAATTTAATAGTTCTCCTAGTGTCTCAATTGTGTAGTAAGCTTAGCTGGAACAGACTGCCATCATTTATTAGACTGAGAGCCAGCATAGTTTAGTGGTTAAAAGTAGGATGCCCCTGGCTCTGTGGCTCAGCTCTGCAACTTATTATCTGTAACTTATTAGTTGGTGATCGTATGAATTCTTATCTTCTTTGTCTTCATAATTATCTTAGCAAGAAGCTGAGTAAAGCAATGCTAGCAATCACTGCTAGCCAAATACCTGGCGGCTTTTCCCTTTCAGAATCCACTCAGGCTTCCCCAACCTGCATCCCCTCCCCAGCAAAATTAATTTCTCCCTTCTTTGCACTCTCATAGAATATGTACTCAAGTCTATCATGGTATTTATTGCAATGCGTACTCTATTTATTTGTTTAAATGTCCATTATCTCTCCTTCCCCTAGCCAATACTGTGAGCTTATTAAATATGGGGACTTTTTTTTTTAATCTTTGTGTCATCAGAGTCCACCCTGGACCCAGTGGGTACTTAATGAAAATGCCTGTCAAATGTATAAATGCTCTATTTCTGGAACTGAGTTTCAAACTTAAAGGCATAGCCTCTTATTTATTCCTATGCATTTTACTTTTTGGGCCTCAACTTCTCAGTGTGTATTGTTACTTTGTTGGAAGATACAACCACAAAAAAATCAAAACAAAACAGAACAAAACTGGGCATCAGTAGGATGCAGTGATATAACTTACTTGTCTGAATATTCCATATGTATTTAGTCATTTATACAAATTACTCATGCGAGTGAATGAAGTGCAGTGGAATTTACAAATCAATAATGGCCAAACAATAAGGAAGATGTTACTTATTATTATAATACGGTCATATTTTACAAATGAGCAAACTAAGGCTCAGAATGTCTAAATGATTAAGGGCGACATGGGAGACTTAACTGGCAGAAGACTACAACATGTTATATAGTGGAAATGATCTGATAGTTGAAAATACAGTGATAAGTATAGGATGTTAGACAAGGAAGCCCGGATGGAGGGCGCATGTTGATCTGAATCTCATAGAGAAGGGACTAAAGAGTAGAGAATTCCAGGGTAGAGAATCATAGTCACTGAGGATGGCATGGCGTAAACTTTGGAAGAGACACTCAAGGGGGACGAGATATATGGGTAGAATAGCATAGAGTCATTTTTCTTGTGTAACTTGTAAATCCTTCTGCTCCATAAGTCAGCAAATGGCTTATGAGTTGGAGCAGCCAATCATTTTACTCACTGTCCTTGCAATGCCTATGGCCTTCCTTGTTTACCTCCAAATTCAGAGGGACCAGAATACCGTGGAAGGAATAATAGAAGTGATAAAAACAGACCAAATAGAAATTGCACTGTCCATGGATAGTGCCTGAGTTTTAATTCATAATCTGGTTAGTTTAACATACTTAGGTACAGTAACAAGAAACATCCTTTAAACTATTTTTAAAAGATCTGAGAAAAATGGTATACAAATGCAATCATTTTAAGTTATTTACTTTGGAGGTATTTAGCATACTAGACATGATAGAAACTTTTGACTTTTTCAATGAGAATATGGGAAGATAAAGGTTTTATCAAGAGTGCAAAAAACACATTATCAGACAATTGTCAAAGTTTGTATAATAAAAAGAATTTAGAGAAATTGCATATCATAGATGAAAAAACCTTTAAGGCTTATGTTTGAGAATTGTGCATGTTACTTGTTTTTGGCAGACTTTAAATACAGTCTGCTATAAAAATTCTGCAAACTTTTTAAGGCTTTTGCATCCCTAATACTGTTTCTAGGTGCTATCAATTAATAAAATATATGCCATAGCAAACATTTGGTAAATATTTAACATAATTATTGAATTGTACTTACTTCAAGATTTTTTCATTTTCTTCCACTTCTGAAAAAGCATGCTATAGATTGCAGTAGAAGTTGGCAGCCACACAGATGTTGAAGTGTGAATTTTGGATGTTTGCAGGTTGTAAATATGTGGAATTTTGATCTTGAATGGGAGTTTAACATTACAACCTTCCATGGTTGGAAAGATTCTGCAATAGCAACAATTTCACATTTGCATAAACAGCTTTATTATAGTTGGAGTAATATATAGAAAGAACACAAATTACTCTGACCAGAGTTAAACCTATAAAGCAATCACATTTGAATGAGGATTTTACTTAAAATCATAGACTCATCAACTTTAAAGTGTTTTTTATCTTTCACAAGAGACAAATTTAGCCTGTTATGAATAAAATCCCTTAATATCTGCATTTTCTGGCTGGCATATGTATATTGCCTCAATGGAACTTTAAAATAAAACCACACATATGAAAAAATAAAAAAAAGGCAAAGAACTAAAACACTTGACCAGAAAAATTCTAATTTTTTACACCAAGTAGTAAATTAATTGGGTCAAAATTGTTTACTTTACTTGCATTTAAAACCAAGAATCTCTTTCACTTCTTGGTTTCATATGGAGGTTACAGAGGGCTCAGAAACAGACTCTTTTGAGATTTACCCTTCTCTTACTTTCTATTGCTGTTGGTACCATCTCTCTCGCTTCACTTGGCAGAAGTACAGTTTGGGTTGTGCAATTTTACAGGTATTTTGTTAAAATATCCAGGAAGTTAGGTAGCTGCATTCCAAATGCAACAAATTGCAAGGTGTTCTTGATTAATCAGAATACTTTATGACACATCTTTTTAAGCCTCAGGTTGAACCAATTTGTGTATCCCCATCAAAGGTGCGATATTCATTTGAAGAATTATGTAAGTTAGTTCAGCATTTTGGATAAATGTTGGATTAATTATTTGGCTCCTAGGAAACTTCACTCAGGCATGTCTTAGTTGCCTACTGTTTGAAAATAAAAAGCAATTGGACTGAGAAATACAAATATCGTATTGCATGATATTGCTATTTTTATTGTAACTCTAAGTCAGTTTTATATAGCAAAACTCCGAACTTCCATTGAGGACATCTTTATAGTTTTTAACTGGTTATTAACTCCATCTCTTAAAAATATTAATTTGTAAATTTGAAGGGAATGAAACAAAATTGTCTAATCATTTGAAAGTTGGTAAAACCATTTAAAATGAAAGCACTCATATATAGAATTTTATTTCTCTAGTCTCATTCACATTTATGTTAACTTGTCAAAGCTATTCTCATTTCTATATATTTTACTCACTCTTAAAACACTGAATGGTATTTTGCTGCCTTAAATTCAGAAGTGGAGTGTTAATTCAGGAGATGGAGCAGCAAAAATGTGAAAGGCTTTGTATTTTTCTCCTGACAAATCAATGGCTTATGCAGATATGAGAGAAGTAAATGCATTTTCCAGTTAGAATTCTTTAAAGGGAAGGGATGAGCAAAGATGAAGGGAATACCACTAATGCTTCTCCAAACATCAGCTGGAGCCTGGAGTATATCTCTGCTGATTTTAGTTTCTATTTTAAATTTTAAAACTGAAAGAGTTGGAATTTAACAATAATATACAACATTGGCAAAAAGGTTTCTCTGGGTTCACACTTCTTCACACCTATAATCTCATCAGATTTTTACACACAACCCTATGAGGGAGGACCGGATATTACCCCCATTTTACAGGTGGATTAACCTAGGAAGAGAGAAGTTAAGCAGCGTGTCAATGGTTATACTGTTAACATTTTAAACCCAGGCAGTCTGCCTCTAGAGTACACACTGTGTTATCTTGCCTTTCTGTAGTTGAAATCGGTATTACACATGTTGTTTTCAGACCTGAGCAAAGGCCATGACAAGTAATTTTGAACATCGTTTTTGATAGATGATCTGAAAATAAAGATAAGCAAAAAAAAAAAATTAAGATCATCTGGGATACCATTATCCAGTGATAATGATGGTGAGGCTTTTGGAGTGTGTAATTCCAGGTTTTTCAATATGTATGGATATATCTGCGCACACTCTTACAATTGCCCACTCCTCAGCTTTCCTCAGAAGAATAATATCCTGCAACCAATCAATCAATAAATCCCCGTTGCTTTTCATCCTAAAGCACACTATATAGAGTTGTCCAGATAAGCAGCAGCTCAATAGCAATTCAAAGTGTGCTCTCTGCAAATGTCTGCCCTTGTGTATGCGTGTGTTTTGTTTTGTTGTACGAATTGCTGCTTTTTACTTCTCTGCCAACTGTATTTTAATACAGGTGGCATTTCTTTTTCCATCAGCTGTTATAGAGCAGTTTCACAACTCCATTTAAGTTGCTCTAGAGGTTGACTGGTTAGATCTTGGAGGTATTCCCAAGGGCTTCCCAAGTAAATTATTAATATCTGACATGAAGGAATCTACATTTAACACAGGTGATTTTAAACATACTCTCCAAAAGTTGTCCTCTCTGCATCCATTCTCTTTCTGTGGCACTTATTAGGACTGCTCAACAACTATTTCCCGTTGGCTGCCTTCCAGGTGCATGATGGGATTGCATCTTCTGGTATTCATGTTATTGGGTGGGGTCATGTGACTGATTCTACCCAATGAGATGCAGCATTCAATTGTCAGGACACCCATGAGCACTGTGGCTTCCATAAATGTGAGCCAGGTATATAACTTTAAATTTTCTATTAGCACATTAAAGAAAGTAAGAAACAGGTAAAATTAATTTTAACAATTTATCTTCTTTAACCTAAGATATTGAAAATATCATTTCAACATGAAATCAATATAAAATTATTAAGATATTTTACATTCCTTTATTATTGGTGTCATCATTTAGACAAAATCTTTGAAATCAGGTGTGTACTTGGCACTTACAGCAATCTCAATTCATTCCAGCCCCATTTCAAGTACTCAATAGCCACGTGAAGCCAGTGGCTACTACACGGGAGAGTCCTGCCCTACAGCTCTCTTTGCTCTGCTGCGGTGACCAGCCATGTTTGAGGTGGTGGCCATTTCACCTCTGGGTCACAGGGTGAGGAGATGCCAAGGACCTGGAATATGAGTGAGCACTAAACTTTTGTTGTTAGAAGCCACTGAGAGTTTCGAGTTTTTGTTATATTGCAGCATAAGCTACCTTATCCTGCCTGAAAGCTACCTTCTTTCTTTCTTCAAAATAAGACCATCCACCATCTATTGTTTCTCACCTACTTTTGCATCTAGCACATTTTAAATATCCTTTTATTCATTATGCATTTCTCTACACCACAGCATCTTTTCCATTAGCTATATAACATCGCATTTCATGCACATACTGTGATTTATTTAACCAATTGTCCCATTGTTGCACATTTAGAATTGTTCCCATTTATACAGTTTAATGAGCAATGCTGTAATAATAATCCTCATAGTTAAATCTTAGGGTACAATGATAAGGATGATTTTTTTTTAACCTCAAATTCCTAGAAGTGAAGGGACTGGGTAAAGATACAGTACTTTTTATAGTGTGTGATAGTTACTTCTGGTTATTTCTTCAGAAAGTATCAATGTTCAATATAGCACCCAATGCATGGCACAGGGTAATTTAATGTTAGTTTATTATTGAGATTAAATACTTTTTCATATGTGAGTTGGGAATTTATATTTATTATTTTGTTAATTTCTTATTTGTGCCAACTGCCATTTTTTTCTACTGAGTTTCTCTTTTTTTATTGATTTGTAATAATTTTGTTTGTATGTAGTCTATTCTTTTGCCATCATAAATATTATATGCTCTTAATTTATCATTTTTTCATTTTTGGGATTTAATAAAAAAAGAATATATGACTTCATATGACTTTAAGGGCACTTTTAAATATAACTTGTCTTAAAATCTGAAACTTTTGTTTCTTCAGAAGTAAACATGGATGAAAAAGCACAGGTTATTGCATATCAAATATTCCACAACTTCATTTAAAAATACAGTAAAAATAAAGACTTTGGTCAGCTTAGGTCCAAACTAAAGTAAAGCATTACCAAACATTTTTAGTTAATCATTTTCTCTCATCTTCTTAAAAAAACTACATGTGAAAGCTTCCTTGATCACAGAACAAGACATGCATTATAAATTCTAAGGAAGATATTCTATTTTTTTTTTTTTTACATAAAATACCTTCTCTAAGTTGTGTACCTGCCTTCCACTTGGAAAACATGTAATACTCATCCAATGTTTCTACAACAATTTTAGACTAATTCATACTGAATATGTCCTATGGTTCATTACACCAACATCATTTTGGACAATAATTTGAATTAAAAATGAGAGTAAATTCTCCTTTCCCACTTCACCATTTTGGTGCAGTGACTCATCATGAATTCATTCTAAAGGATTCTCTTGGTTCCAATTTGCCTGGTGGTCCCTAATTCTTGTTATCATTCCATGCTTGTGACATCGCCTGTTGTTTCTGGAAAAGTGTACTGTGAACTACAAGCTCATGCTATTTCTTAGCACTTGTATGTCATTCTTAACGCACACAAGATGATTTGCATTCATTTGTAATCATTGTTCTTTGCAAGATACTGGTAAGAGGGTTATTATAATAACCAACATTTTGCCCATGGGGAAACTGAGACCCAGGAAGGTTAAGTGACTTACCCAAAGGCATACAGTGAATTAATGGTGGAGCCAGGATTGCAGGCGAGAATCCATAGAGGTTCTCTATTGTTTAGCACACTCAGCAACAGGGCCTCTCAGCTGTGTGTTCATTCTTCCATACATCACGTTTTCTTATTCCTTCGCTGCACAAACAATTCCTTGAGAACATGTGACATGCTTATTATACAAGGTTGCAATAATATCTTTTATTTTATTTTTTCCTTCTCTTTTAAAACGTATTATTCCAACAACTTGGAAATAGGTGGAAGTGGAGAAATCATTCAAGCTTTTCACATGGAACAAGTGAATGGAATCATTGAAGAATCCAGAAGTGTATCTAGTCTTTTCCCTTAGGGGATGGAAATGCACTCAAGTGAAAAGGAAAACCATGTACTTTTCTACACTTACTTATGTTTAAATAATAGGAGATATAGAAGAAATATTAACAGTATCACAAATAAGTACTGTTATTTCAAAGTCTTTTTAATTGTTCAGCGTGACTAAGTAGCATACAATGGAAAGTCTGTAGGAATACTAATTCCAAGTTATCCTCCAAGTTTATTTTGGCACTATGATCTTTTTTAACCACTCCAGGTAATATAATAGCAATACTATTAAACTGTTGAAATAACAGTGATAATAAATTATTAGTGGAAAAGGATTTTCCAGCTTCAAGTAGTCAGAGAACAGAACAAATTCCCCTTTGCAATGTCCTCTGAAAATGTAGACTAGTATTGTTTTCAACATAAGAATTTGAGGGTAGTTAGGGAATTCTGCATCTGTGTATGTTTCTGAAAAATCAATATTATATTCATAAAGAATAACAGGCTATAACTTAGAAATTACTATCTCCTACTTCTCCCATCCCACCATTCCATGTTAAAGAAATATTGTGTTTGTCCTATTTGGAATACAGTTTGTGGATAGTTTTCCAACAATTGGAAAGATGCTTTGGCTTTTCCTTCTATATAAATTATGAGAGAAAATGTGATTTTAATAGGGATCTCTGGAAAGAACCTGAAGGATATGAACAAAATTGTTGTTCAACTTAATTTAGGGCCCTAATTTAGAACATATACCATGTTCTCTTTGCCTCCAAATGGTTTTTTAGTAACCTTCTGCCCCAAGAAGTTATCAATTATTACCCACCCTCAGGAAGCAAGCCATGTATTAGAAGGTAATCAGATTAAGAGGGGAACTCAATCTGACTTACCTTACAAGTCAGTTTTTCCTTTCCTAAGTTTTTAGGAGTAACACTTAAATATGTATTTATCTAGTTCTGTGGTTCTGCATAAAGAGTATTAGGACATATTGCTTCTTGGAGAGGCTACTCATACCTGCGTTTTCTTTCTCCTTATTCCACAGTGCTCTTCCTACCCCAGGAAAAATCAGAGACAAGAAGAGCTCACCCTTTTTAAGGGAACTTTAGGCATCAGATTTCAGAGAATGATGAAAAAGGAAAATCAACTAAACAAACACAAGGTCCTTCAGTTTACCCCTAAGTTAAATGGTTCATGTCTTTTATATGAAAGAATAACTCTTCCACTCTTGCCATCACCCTCTCCACATATCTGGCTACCCCTTTGGGTTATCTATAGCTCCACCTTCCCTACACATAAACCCCCATTTTTTTGGCCACCTTCTCTCTACCCAACAAAGGAGGAGGCCTGAGAGATGCCATCGCTGGTGGGCTTCCTCTGCCTAAATTCTCTGAGTGGGGAGGGACCAGGTAGAACAAATACATCACTGGCCCATTTCCCCTCTGCCCACTTCTTGTCACTGAGGCCAGGGATGGGTCAGTCACCTTAACTCTTGGACCTTGCTGCTCACAGCAGGGAAAGCTAACCTGTCCAGCCACAGGGGAGACCAGAAGGGTCAGTCTTTGCAAACACTGGTTTCAGAAGAAGATACAGGGTTAGGGAGATGTCAAGTGCTGAGTACGGGGCTGGATCTGTGGCTTAGAGTAACAGTAAATAAACCACCTTCATCACCTGCTCTATGCTCCACTCACTCTTTGCCCTCTGAATGGTCATATTCTGACCTCCAAAAGAGGTAAGAAAAAGAGAGAAATCCCTCCAACTTCAGCATGTGCAAACACAATTTCAGAGGTAAATAGTTACCATGTCTAGTAGTTACCTTTTGGGACTCATTTAATTGGAATCCACGAGTTTGGGGAGAACATGATTGGCCAAGGAGTTTGGCAGCCCCAAGCCTGCAAGAGACCAAAACTCTTGAACCATCCGATTAAAACCAGATATCTGACTGCATTCATTGATGTGATTTTGGCAAACTTTTTTTTTTAAGATACATTTTTTTCTAGTTAAAAGCTGACTTAAAACCTTCTCATAAGCACTCCCTTCTCTCCACCCCTCGGCCCTCCTCTCTTTCTCTACCTGAAGAAAAAAAAGCATATTGACGCTAAATAAAAACCAGAAAGAGCAACCTTATGTCATTTATTTCTCTGAGATTGAAAAAAAAGTCATTTTTTCCCCCCTTAGAAAACTGTTCTGGTTTAAAATAAAAACACTTCAAAAGGTACTTTGCATTATATGTATGTCTTCCATGAGAAAAAACACCCACATCTAGTGATTTTCTCATCTTGTCCCGGTCTGACAAGATCTATACTAAAATATATTTAAAGAGAAGAAAAAAAAATACAGAAAAAAAAAAAAGGAGACTAAAAAAGCTGACTGAGCAGCAGAAGTCTCTTCCTCAAGCTGGGGCCTTCCCTTTTTCCCCCCCTCCCGGGTAGGGGTGGGGGGCCCCCCAGCCTGGGCTCCCAGCGGCTCCAGCGGGACCCGGCGACCTTCTGACTCTGGGGCCCCCTCGGCTCCCCGACTTCAGCCCCATTCATTGTGCTCGACCCGGGAGCCGGGCTCAGCTTCCCTCCTGGAGCTCCCCCTTGGACCCTGCCATTGTCCCTGTCGCCTGACCTCTGCCACGCTAAGTTCCAGCAAGGTGATGTGGAAAACGCGCCACTCGCTCCCTGGCTGGCTCCCCGACTCGCCTTTTCGCGCTCTCGGCGGCGGCTCTTTTCTGCAGGGGGGACCACCAAGCGCTCGGCTTTGCACGGCCAATTTATGGCGCTGTCAGGGGCTCGGGCGCCGCGCCCATTGTGCGGGGCGCCGCGCCTGACCCCGCCGCCAGCGCCGTGTAGCCCGATTGTTCCCTCATTAGGGCGGCCGGGAGCGGCGGAAAGGCTCGCGGCCCTTTCCCACAATCGCGGACAATGTGCGGCCGCAGGCTTGTCACAGTCGCAGGCGAGGAGAAATGGAGAGGATGTGCCTTCGAGGAGGGCGCGAGGGACTTCGCATTCCCGCGCGAGGGGGAGGGGGGAGGGGGGAGAAAAAAACAAACACTGAGCCAAAAAAAAAAAAAAAAAAAAAAAATCCCAAACCCCAAACCCTTCACCGCTTGTAGCAAATTTTTACTGGGGTTTTGGTGGTGGCTGTCAAGACCCATAGGAAATACGCTGGGGAAAGTAGCCCCGGAGCCTTGCCAAGAGCTAAATCAAGAGTTACAAAGCACCAGACAGGCGGCGAACCGGGCACAAAAGGGCTCTGTGCACAGGGGCAAGAATTGCCCAGATGTAAACAGGGGGCTGAACTCTGCCCGGCCAGGAGCTGGGGCTGTGGCCACGTGGAGAAAGGCAGGAGGAAGCCGCGCGGAGCTGTGACCCAGTGCTGGGGCGACAGCACTAAGCAAATGCTTCTTGTTCGAGGAGAACCCACCGGCGTGTGTGGCAATGCCTTTCCAGCCCCGCTTCCAGAGAGCCAGGGGATTTTCTGCTTTTTCGTGCTGTCCGCCCCCAGTGTGCGTGTATCGGCTGTTCTTAGTGAAAATGCCTCCCAGAGAGGTGATGGGGCCTGAACACCACACTTTCCCGCACTCTCACTTTTCTTCCCGGCCAGCAAAGTGAGGACGCTGTTCCCACAGAACCCTTCCCTCTCCCCCCACCCCCCTCCTCCCGCCTGTTGCATTGAAAGGGCCTTCTCTACAACTGCAGCTTCAGAGAGACCCGGCAAAAGTCTCAAGGGGAAGGGACAAAGAGGACTATCTCTGTCCTCACTCTTGGATGTATACAAAAAGCTAAGCTCAGATTCTTAGGTCTGTGAAATGCTTTTTGAGTTGAAACACAATACCCACCTACAGGGAGCGTATGGAAAGTGATTTTAGGCACCAATACCTGAGGGTAATTCCCTTTATTATATAAACATCATTAACTCCTCTTATGAGATGACGCAAAAATATTTAACATTTTTCTTTTGCAATTCTCAAGCAGTTGATTCTGGAGCTAAGGCCGTGTCTCTGTCTCAGGAAGCAACCACAGCTACTAGCAGGTGATTCAAAATTGTGCTCCGAAAGGAAAACTTACTTCAAGAAGTTTAAGGGCTAATATGCATAGACTTTTCACTTTAAAACTCTTAAGACAATGTTTTTGAGTTGTAAATATTTGTTCCTTGAGTAGACTATAAAGCTAGAATTGAAAAAAAAAGTTTATATTCCAAGATACTACTTGTATAAAATATATATTCAAAGATATCGATTGTCTATATTTCAACTACATGTAAAAAATTCTAGGTACTTCAACATTTTAAATTATTCTTAACCCAGAACTAAAGATATTTTTATGATCACAAAATAACGTGAATTATGCTTCTTAAAAAACACACCAAGTCTCACCTCTGGGGTGCATGTTGTCCTGTGATTTTGTCCAAAACTTTATTGACAAGATAAAAATAGCTTTAGATTCTTATGTTGAACATAGAAACAAGAACTGCAGATGTAATCATAAGGCAATTTGTATGACTTTGTAAAATCCATTGCAAAGATTAATTTGGTTCTGGCAGTTTTTCTGTCTTGTTTTTCGCAGATAGCTTTCTATTGAATATTAATCTTAAACTCAAATGTGTAAAGCTTTTATTTTTCTTAAAAAATAGTGATCTTAATTTGAGGTTACATTATGTCTATTCTTGAAGTTCGTGATGGCTGGTTTTTGGCAGTGGTGGGGCATTTCTTTCTGATTTTTAGTTTTCTCTGAGTCTGTTAAATTTCTCTGCTCTTGCAGTTCTGAGCTAGTATATCTGCACTTGATCTGGGCCCAACCATATTTTGATTGTAAATAAAAAGTCTTCTTTTATGAGGATGTTCACTTCACAGCTTGAGCAGTGTAATTTTTATACAGGTCTCAGCAATCAATAAAAAAGCCACAGGAGGAATGATTTATCTTGTTGGTTACAGAGACTGTCACCGAGAGAAATTGTAAAAGATCAATTTACACAACCTGGTGTGAGAATGTTATTGATATAACACGGTTGATCGGTTTCTGGTCGTCCAGGCGCAGGCCCTGCGAGGCAAGCACCGTCCTGCCATAGGTCCACTAACCAAGGTCTTAATAGACTCCGTGCTCCATAAAGTGGACACAGAGCCAATGACAGTGGAGATGGCCTGGCGGGCGCGGGCCAGCATTGGCTGTGCTCCCATTACTTCGTTAAGCGGTGTCATGCTTCTTCCTTTTTTTTTTTTTTTTAAATTTTTTCCCTCCTACTGTGAGAACTGTTCACTTAGAGACTCCCTGTCTTAATTACAAAGCGCCCTTTTAACCATAGGTCACAGGACTTGGCTTTCTTGACAGGAAATAAGGAAACAAGCTACCTTCCTGTAAAAAAAAAAAAAAAAAAAATTCAAACTTCCACTTCTCAAATTAGTTAAATGAAGCTTATCGACGTTGGGAGTTGAGCCTTTGACAGTTGGCTAATTGCAGTTGGTACATTATTTTAACCAGGGCTGTTTGGGATGTAAGTAAGTAAAAAATGAAAAATAAATAAAGCCCAGGCTCTTCCAATGAAAAGCACTTTTAAAAACACAGTTAATCTTAGTTTTACTTGCTATAAATATTACAATACAAAAATGGAGTCCTACGCCTAGTCCTATTTTAATAAAATAGATTTACAATCATTAACATTTAAAAACTAATGACACTAAAACTACTTTCAATCCCAGGAAAATCTCTCTCTTTCTCTCTGGTTCTACCTCCAAAATGTCCTCTACCTATATATTTATGTTAAATGTACTACAGGAAGTCTATCTAGTAGATATCTGGTTCTAAGTCTGTGTACAGCATTCTCAAATATAGAACTTTTTCAAATGAAGATAAACCTTTAGTTGAATTAGTTTATTTTCCAATTTGCAATTCTTTAATGTTATTACTGAAGATGGAATATCATTTACAGGAAAATTAAAAAAAAAATCAACTCTGGTGGTTTCCTTATTTAAAGACTATTATAATAGGTCAAGCAGAAGAAAAACAACCAAGATTTAGGAAAATATAACTGTTTTTGTGCATTTAATTTATTATTTAGATTAACGTACAATGTCAGAATAATAATTATAATGTGCCCTGAGTTATAGGAATATGAAAGAATGAAGAGTCTAAGAAGAAAAACTTATAGCCTAGACTTTTAGTTGTAATTTTAATAATATTCTCTCACGTAGTTTTGGTTTCAGATTCCACATTTCTGTGTGTGTGTGTGTGTGTGTATTGTGTGTATGTGTCACGTGTTTAATATGTGGAGTTTGTCTTTACCTTTTTCATTTACACACACACACACTTTTACTTGGAAAATGGATGAATTCCATGTTTTCGGAACACCTACTTAAAAGGTAAGAATCAACTAGTTCTATGCATGCTATTAGATCAAATTTTAATTGCTAAATGTCCAATTAGTATTTATTTGCTTTTGTTTACAGAAGAGTGAATAAATGTGATTTTGCTTTCATATTCCTGTATATTAAAATTCCCTAATAGCTCTCATTGTCTTTTCATTAGCTAAAATTAGTCCTCAGATCTCTTACCACATTCATTATAAACTGAACACAAACAAAAGACTGTTCACAAAATATGCTTTCCCTTCATGTCCCCCCCCTCCAGCTCTTTCATGGCATGTAGATATTCCTATCTCAATATCAATGATGCCTGTAATCTTGCATCAGACAACTTTGCACTTATTTCCTCTTCAGGGCTTTAACTGAATCAGCACTCATATTATGTAGCTGGTAAGGATGCTGCAGCTCCATAGTGGGAGCAATGTTCCCTCCAAAGCAGAAAAATAACTCTGCAATTTTTTCACATCTGGAGGAAGACAAGCTTGCTCACACCTCCAGTCCATGTCTTTTTTTTTTTTTTTTTTTTTAATGCAGTTTCTATTCCTGCCAATCTCTTGATGGCCGCAGGCTCCGTGATGGTTTAGTACTGACTGTTCTCTGCCCCAGTTCTCCTCCCACCTCCATGCTCCTAACCAGATCAGCCCCTCCCAGCATCCTACAGATCCAAGTTAAAATGCAATTTCCTGCTTTTGATAAGTAGACACTATCCAGCCAGAACAAAACAGAACACTCTGATACAATTGTCTCATGGCCAAAGGCGAAGGCAACTCCCACCCTTCAAGTCTCCCCTGGTTTAAGCCAAGTAGGAAATGCAATTTCTGATTTTTATTCCTGCATTTTTTACCATACTCTCCAGAAATATATTGACAGGGTCTGCATATGTAAATCAGCCAGGGAACCAACGCAAAGATCCCAATTATGGGAACACTTAAAACAATCCCACCCACTCTATCAATTTGAATATTTATGGCTACTTCTGATCTCGAATGGGCAAATAATTAGAAGTACCCTGGTTCAAAAACTCCAAAAATGTATTTTCATACCAGACATGAATGTCTACCAGAGTGTGCCTTATCTTGGAAGAGTGTCAAACTACCTAGAAATATGGCCTGTCTCTTGCCAAATGACTTTCTGTAAGAGCTGTCCAGCTACATTCTCTCTCCTGCTGTCAGTTCTTATTCAATAATCATTAACCTTATTTGTTTGCCCCGGCTTTTCTTGAAGTAGCTAAAGTAGATGTAGTTATGAATAAAGCTCTCTAAGTAGTTTCACAGTGCATACAGTAGGGCAGATGGAAGGGGGCTAAGTAATTAATCAACCAATATGTTCCTTCTGCCTGCAAAACACTCTGGTTGCCCCCAAAGGAGTTACAGAAGGATGTCAGGCATGGACTTTCGTCCGAAGGAACTGATAAGTTGGTTGGTGAGAAATTGCTCTCAGTAGTAAACAGTAAATATGAAATTGGATTGAACTGACTAGGTCTTGTTCAGGGGACTATG